TAATTAGTGAAGTGCATTTTTTTAGTTCATTAGTTTGGTGGTCTTTTTTTTTTTTTTGTGCCGTTCAGTTTTATCTCAAGTTCTAGTGGATGTTCGAGTCAAAACCCTAGGGTTTAAGACTGCTACTTTAACTCCAACTGAAGCAATCAACTCTTTTCCCTGGAGGGTTTTCATTTGCTGTTTAGTTTGTTCCCCATCTGTTTGGAATTTTAATGCAACAAAATGTAGCGATGACTTGGGCCTTTAACTTGTGAATTTGCGTTTTGGGAATTTTCTGTAAGGTTTTGATTCGATTTAACTGAATACGTTTTGGGATTTGAAATCCAAAATAATTGATGAATTTTCTTGCATGTTGCGATTGCGGGTTGAATGCTGTTTGGATAGGGTTCATGGATAGAGTTTGCAAATGAATGGTGATATCTTAAATAATAGTGTGGTGGTGGCCTCCAACCCAGGGCATAGAAACTGAACCAACTAGGAGGTTTTGTAGTTTCAAAAGGTTTATTAAGGAGACTACCATGAATGTTAATGCTTGTATTCAATTGAAAATATTCCATTCATGTTGTTTTATAACCTGATTCTGTATGGTGGTGTGATTAACGAATACCATTTTTCTTGCTAAATAATTCATTAATGAGCACAGCCTGTGATTTTCTATGGGAGTTGTTATGAAATTATCTAAAATAAGCATGACTCACTTGGTGAGGACTTTTTACTTGTTATGTTACGTATTTACATTTACTTTTTCTTATTGATTTTCCTTCCTTTTTCGCTGCTGATCTATATTGAGAGAGTTTGTGTTCTTTGTACAGCCGACATCCTATGGTAAAGTGGGCTCAGAGGTCTGACAGGTTGTTTATAACTGTTGAGTTACCGGATGCTAATAATGTGACACATAAGCTAGAGCCAGAAGGAAAGTTTTTGTTTTCTGCCACAACTGGAGTAGATAACACGCCTTATGAAGTTGAATTCGATCTTTTTGACAAGGTCGATGTAAATGTAGGTGTTGCAAAATCTCTCACTTTGCCTCTTGTATATATACGCATTGACGAAGAATGACAATATTTTAAAACTATGTCTTTTAGGAGAGCAAAATTAGTGCTACCTCCAGGAACATTTGTTATCTTGTAAAGAAGGCTGAGAATAAATGGTGGAGTAGACTCTTAAAGCAGGGTGGAAAGCCTCCTATCTTTCTGAAAGTTGATTGGGACAAATGGGTGGATGAAGATGAGCAAGACGAGAAAGGTAAATGACAATCCTGAATCCTATATCTCCCGCTCCTTAATTGATTCCCATTGAAGATATCTCCTGCTTGTTATTTGGTATTCATGGTTGCCTTTTTATTTTCAGTTGGATCTGACATGGATTTTGGTGACATTGACTTCTCGGTAAGTATCAAACTAGAATATGTCACGAGTGATTCATCTATTGTTTTTTTGGATATTAACCTGCTTCCATATGTTCAGAAATTAAATATGGGCGGAGGTGGAGATTTTGATGCTGATATTGCTGACAGGGATGAAGGCAAGTGTTCTTATGTTGAACCTTTTGTTTATATAAACTTGCTGAACGGCTTTTTGGTTGACAATTGTGGTTGGTATTATGAACTTGCAGGAGATGATGACAGTGACACGGAGGATGAAATTAAGGAAGAAGGAGCTGCAGCTAGTGGTGAACCACATACAGCACCTGCTAGCAATGAATCAGAAACAAAAGCTTGAAAGGACAGGGAGGAGCAAGAAACTTGAGAGGATCTGAGCATGTCGTCGGTCTTGGTTTTTTTTTAAAATTTATTTAGTCATATGACATATGCTGGGATACGCCATCGTTTGACATGTTTAGCTTGTGTGCTTGTTATGGTGTTTTGAATATAATGAATTTAGGCCTTTTAACATGAAGTAGGCTTGTATTAATGTCACTAATCCACTGTGGTTATACTGCTTGTTATACTCTTTAAGATCATTATCCACCTTCTTCCTTCTTCTGGCTCAGACGAAATTTCAGATCATTTTCCACCTCCTTCAACACATGGAAAATATTGTATTGCTTTTGTGATTTTTGCTGGCAATGTGTTTTTGGGTTCAACAGCAGGCGTTACCTTTTGAAGGTTGAACTGGCTTGCCTCTGACCCTTCCTCTCCCCTTTCTAAAGCCAAAGACGATACCAGTAGTTGGTCATCGGATTGATAAAAAAGAGAGAATAGGGCGACACTTGGTTCTAATCTTGAATTGACGGGTACTGTTTTAACTTCTAACACGCGGTAAGTTTTTCAAGTGCTCGTAACTTGACGTTCATAACTCGGATTGGGAATGGAAGAAGACGGCAAAGGCAAAAGAAAATCAATACCAGTCTTTAATTAAAAGAAGTAGATGTGCAATCGAACTTTTGTTCCTTCCTTGCACTAGAGTCTCAAGCGTGGTGAAGACACGAAACAAGTGCTCATTCGTCTCTGGACCATGAAGAAAGAGAGAGCAAGCAAGCGTACATGAATACGGCGGTGCAGTTACCCTTTCCAAATAATGGTACGATCGCACTTGATAGTTTTGCCCCTTCTCAGACTGCACTTCTCGATTGACAGAGTAAAAAGAATTAGCCTAATGCTGTTCAGCAGTTGCAATAAGCTTCTTGCGAGGACCCGCACTTGTTCTGAAATGCTGTCTGTATATCCATCAATGCATGCGTGCGCAGGTAGGTATGCATCCGAAATTGTAGTAATTCAATCTTCAAGTAACAAGAACCATCCAGGGACACTTTTACAGCCCACAGACGAGAAATTAAAAACATTATGCATTTCACCAATAATCTCTACAAGTACAAGAGCCATTCTTGAATCTGTGAAAGCGAGTTCTGTCACGAACAATAATTTCCCTCTTATAAATCTTCGAAATGAGTTTAATCGCTGTATGACAGTCTCCACATATTCTTAGATTCTTGTTTACACTAATAGGCACCTCAGCGCTAGTGCCTATCAAAGCAAAGGCCACAGCCAACTTCTCACTGTGATAACCCAAGACATTCTCCTTGTCCTCATGACCTATATCGTGCAACACATTATTGGTCTCTGGCACATATCCGCATTCACTAATCCTAAACCTAATCTCATCAAGCTTCTGATAAATATCCCTCCAATTGGGATGGCTCTGATCACCGTTAATAAATTTATAGATCACACCACCAACTTCAGTATAACTGAATCCCGGTATTTTTTTGACAGCCCTATTTTTCATGGCTTCCCTCACCCTCCCCACATCATTCCACCTCCCATGTGAAGCATAAAGATTCGACAGTAACACAAAGTCCCCACAACTACGTGATCCCATTTCTACAAGCTTCCCGGATGCTTTCTCTGCCATCTCCACATTCCCATAAGTTTTACAAGCCCCTAACAAAGTTTGCCAAAGCACAACATCTGGATATGTGGGCATTGATGCTATAATCTTGTACGCCTTCTCCAACCGTCCTGCTCTTCCTAACAGGTCAACAACACTACCATAATGTTTCACATTTTTATCCACCCCACTTTCCTCCATTGACTCGAACAACTTCAACCCTTCATCCACCAACCCTGCATGGTTACACGCGCACAATGCTGCCAAATAACTCACCCTATCCGGCCCCAAACCATCTCGTTCTAATAGCTTGAACAGCTCTAATGCTTTAACTCCATCCCCATGCATTGCATATGCCATAACCATTGTATTCCAAGTAATAAGTGTTTTCCTACATTTCATGCCACCGAACACTTCAAACGCCTTGTTAACAAATCCACATTTCCCAAACATGTCAATAACTGCATTGCAAACGTTTACATTGTCATCAAGCTTTTGATCTCTAATATAATCATAAATCTTTTCTCCCTCCTTAAAAGCACCAAGCTGTGAACAAGCAGATAGTGCTCCCAGGACGGTAACCTCATTTGGGCTCAGCCCATTCTCCCTCATCCGCTTAAAAAACTCTAGAGCTTCATTTGGTCGGTTCCCTTGAGCCATCCCAGCAATCATAGCATTCCAGCTCGCAATATCCCTCCTAGTCATTTCTTCGAACAAAACCGACGCGCAATTCAAATCCCCACATTTTGCATAGGCATCAAGCAGAGTGGTCTGCAATAAAACATCAGCACCCACCCCAAGCTTGACAATCTCAGCATGGAACTGAAGGGCTTCAATCCGGGCCAAAGCGCGAGCGCAGGCCTTGAGGGTGAAGGAACAAGTCAAGGCATCAGGGGTGCAACGGGCACGCCGCATGGACACGTAGCAAGTGACTGCATCTAGTGGTTGGCGGCTTTGGGCGAGGCCGCGGATAATGGCGTTCCAATCATTGGTGGCAGGGTGGGGGATGTGGTTGAAGATAAAGGTGGCGTAAGACAGGCTGCCGGCGGAGGAGGTGGCGCAAAAGTCAAGCAGCTTTGACCGGGAAAAGTAGGATTTGAAAAGGCCGGTGGTTATGAGGTGGGCTTGAAGCTGCTTGATGTGTGGTAGGGAATTGCATTTGGTCAGGAGCTTTTCAGCATAGGCCATGCAACGAAAGAGGCGTCGTAGTGAACTTGTAGCCGGAACTACGCAGAGCGAATTTTTGATGTTGCTGAAATCCGAAGCACCACATTGATTTGATCTTGAGGCTCATTGCAATAATAATAGGTCCAATTTAATGTTTATATCCAGATCCGAAAACTCTCTATTTTGAGCGAATATATAGATTGACTTCGGTCTCCTTTGAACAGAAGGAGAAAGGACTTCCTGTTCTTTTTCATTTCTTTGACGATTCAAATTTCAAGTTTACGATTGCAATTTATGGATATATATATACACACGTATGGCCTGGACTGTGGACATAAAATCTAAGGTCATTATAAGCATCAAACTTGCTAATAATCAATAGCATTGACAACTTAACAACAACAACACTGATATAATGCATATTTGTATGATTCTTTGATCTGATTAGAGAATTAATCTTGTTCAAGGCAGAGGAGCTGCAGGATATTGAAGTACTAAGGATCGCCCCGCCAAATTTCCAATAAATAGATGAGTAAACAAATGGACAAATTCAATGAAGTATGACATGCTCTAGAATCAAGGTCAGAAAATCTATTTGACGGTAAACAAACTTCTCTTCCTCAAATAACCGCAGATTTACGCCATGATTAATCACAAGAGTGACCTACTACCTACTACTTTTATAGAGAAAAATGAGGGCGAGCGAGATGGTTTACTAGAATTGGTGGAAGACAAGAAATTTATAGGGGTAGTGTCAAACTATTGGTACAGATGAAGAAAATCCATGCGCTTAAAAGCACATATAACAGAGGCAGAAAAGAATCTCAGCTATCAGGCAGTCTCATCTGCACCAGTTCAGCTGGAGGCCGCAGGGTACAAACCATTTCTTTTGTTTTCCCAAAATAAAGCTGCAGATTCGTGAAGATTTAACATTTTAAGTTTTGTGTCTTTTGAGCAAACCAATCAACAGAAGAGACATTTAAGAAATACAAATATCATGACAAGAACTGAAGGTAACAAAAATCTTCTGGTTCTTGTACACCAAGAAAATGACGAGTGTTGATGACCTATTGTAAATAGAATTGCTATACCTGATCCAGAGAGTTTCTAAGTTTTCCCTCCATTTCTTCAATCATTTTTCCCATGTTGCATAAATGACCTTCTGCAACTGAGAGGTCCATGTTCATCTGTTGCAAAATTAAAGACAGTCAAAATCATGATATAAGAAACCTGCATAAAGAGCCCTTCTCATCTCTTTGCATCATTTTATACACCTGTGGGATGAACTACGGCATAGCCAAAAAATTTTTTACAAACAACAAATAGCAGTAACTTGAACCTCATAGCTTAAATACCAATTTTTACGGGAGGAAAAATCCAGTCATAAATATACAACCAAATGCAAGCATTAAGATTAAAATAAAAGATATTCCAGTCAACCATCTCTGTCACAACAATAATCATCAAGCCCAAACAATCGTATATAAATTACCTGTCTTCTAATTGATCCGGACAAATTAAAGGTGCCTGATGACTCATCATTTGTGGTCAATGACAACATAACTGTACTTGTCAAACAGTAATGGGCTTTTCCTTCTTCCTCGGGACCCACCTAATTCATATGTATGAGATTTACAAGAGGCATGAAAGATTAAGAAAAAAAATGAATGGGAGCTTGCTCCCTTTTAATTAATTTATTCATTATAGAAGGTTGCGGGGAAGAACTACCTCAATAACGTGTATGGCATCCCAAGCTCCTTCCTGCAGGTAACCTCTTTTACCATGTGCAGTCTTCGAGCCATCTTCAAGACATTTCAGAAATCAGTTCAAAGAAAGAGCATTTCCCTTCTCTCTACCAATTCAATAGAAACAATTACCTTTCTTTATTAAGAAACAAGCTACAAACCCTTCATTTTCATCTTCCCATAGATATACGGATGAAATTCCACCTTCATAGTACCTAACAACAATTTGATCAATTGAAGATCAAGCTCTAAACAGAGTCAAGATACTATTTATGGCTTGTCCTTTCATGAATCATCCAGAACGAGAAAGAATCTTGCACAAAGCTACTATCAAGGAAACAATTTCTCCTGGGTCTTTCTCAAACATGGAAATTGTGGGGAGCATGGTGTCTTAACATAGAACAGTTCTTTTATTCCCTAACTATAGGATAAAGGAAAAACGAGATAGGTAAAGGTTCTCACTGCTCACGATAGACAGCAAAAACTTCATTTGCTTCAATCTCAAGTTTTCTCAATTCTGGTGATGGATGAGGTCCATCTTCTAGTGGTGGATGATATTTATTTGACCAGGGCGACCTGCAAGTGAAACCAGGGATTTGTAAGACAGTACTTCAGAATATAAATTTACAATAAAAGCTAAAAGACAATATCAGCAAAGGGTTGAGTAACTGAGTTATGCATCTTCAAAAGCCCGATAAAATTCAAATAAGCTACCTAATGCACACTTAATATATGGACTGATGGGGCTTGTCTAGACATGTTACCATCCCAAATACTAAGCTCTAGAACTGGCAGTACAAGAATGTAGATATTTAACCACAGGAAAAACAAAAACTGTGTACTCAGGATGCCATTGATAATATAGATGACAAATAGCAAAAGCAACCAGATACCTTGGACAGGGCATTTAGAACAAATGTCAACAGAGTAATTTCCAATCTGAAGTGTATAATATTCCATTTTATAACAGTGCAAGATAACAAACAGGGAACTTTACCTGTAAGAGTCAGCATCTCTGTTGTATTCACACAAAATGAACTCTTTCCCACAGTCCACATCACATAAAACCTGTCTTTCCGAGTAAATGATTAGCATTTGTTCTACATGAATATAAAGCCCAGCAATAGAGAAGCACCAAATACCTGCATAAGAACAGCAGCTTATAATAGAAAGAACTTGCAAGATGAACTCTTTGCAAAAAAGAATGGCATACTGCAAATTGCTCTATTCTAACAAATACAGCTTCAAACAAACTCTAAAACATCTTTTACTAACCAAAATAACATTTTATTGAGCACGATAAGATTTACTTGAAATGCATGTTCACGTAGAACATCTTATATTAACCAAAGAAGAGCCTTAATCCAGTTCAATTCAAAGGCAGTATTTTCAACTTCTCAATAGAACTGAACCACGAAATTGCATTCAATCTACCCTTAAAAGACAAAAACTATCACTAGAAACAACACACAATGCCAATAATACGTCCATTCATTTTGCTCCTCTTTTAAGTCAAGCAAAAAGCTACATTCTTTGAAGCTAGAAGAGTCTCTGCTTACTACTTATTCAACATGAAGCAAACATACCCACAGAAAGTGCAGCAGAAGATTAAAACCCTAGCAAATTGAACTGCTCCGAAGGAATAGGTGTTCTCATTTCAACCTAATCAGCCGTAAGGCCTCACCAAAAACCACATTCAGTGTAAAAGGAAAAGCATAATAAACACAAATTAGTTGCAGACTCCATAAAAACAATGACCCTCCAAATAAAAACCAGTAAATAGTTGAATTATCTTCATATATTTTTCACCACACAAAAGAGGGGGTAAAAAGCAAAATCGGAATGACCAAATGCAAGAGAAATTTTACCTGGAGAGGCTGATCGACCTGAGAAAGGAGATCGGAGGAATGGTGAGGCAATAGGCTGAGCAGTGCAGAAAGCGCCGTTTCGCTATGCTTGGGCGGAATTCTTCTCATCAACCCCATTGCCGCCTCCATTTTTCAAAACCAAAACCACCACCCCCACTTTCTCTCTCTACATTCAACTGTATTGCTTAATAGCCCTGTATGGACAGGTGGATAGAGAGAAAAGTATTTTGCTCGTCTTCTTATCCACACCCCCCCCCCCAAAAAAAAAAACAAATCGTCGTTTTGTTTTATTCCAACTATTGTGATTTTTTTATTTTCGGCGATTTGTTTGATCCGAGCTTCCCTCGCGGGAACCATTTTAATGGAGAGAATAGGGGTGTGCAAAATCAAAAAATTCCGATTTATCGATCAAATTTAAATTGAATTCGGAATTTTCGAAATCGGTAAATCAGAAATCGGAATCGAATTCGGGTTTTTCGAATTCATATATTTTGAATTTGGTTCGAATTCGGTAATGGAGTTTTTATTTCCGATTTCGAATTCACAATTTGAAATCGGAATTCGAATTCCGATTTCGAATTCAAATTCATTTTTAATATATAAATATATTTTTTATACATGTAATATAAAATTTATACTATATAATATTATATAAAATTTATATAATATAATATAATATTATATTATATTATAAATTTTATATTATATAATAATATATAAATTTTTCCGAATTCGGTGAAATCGAAATTTACGTGGTGAATTTTTCCGAATTCGGAATTGGTGAATTCGAAATCGAATTCGATCGAATTATCAAATGCCAAAATTTCGAAAAATTCCGAATTCAAACTTCCGAATTACTGATTTCGAATTCGATGCACACCCGTAGGAGAGAATGCTGCTTTGATTACTTGAGAAGGTTGCAAAGAGAGCCAGCTTCAGCCTAGTTATTGGACATTTGGACCCCTGTTGATTATAATGGAAATTCTTGAACTTCTTTTTATTCATTTTTCTTCCTACTTAGGAGAATCATATTTGGTTTGGATGTTGGTTCTGATTTTATTTCTCTTTCTTTCCCTGAGAATTTTAATTTTCACTTTTCAGAAAAATATTATCATTTTTTGGAGTTTTTTTTTTAAAAAAAAATATTATAATGATTTAATACATGTGAGTGAGGAAAAAAGGTGATTGAAAAAATATTTTCATGAAAAACATATAGATTTTTGGAGAAAAATGGCGATCTAAACATAATAGTTAATTTAACAAAATAAATTTCCTTCTTGATTTTTAATATTAATAATCAACTTACCATGCAAGTTTTTTTTCCTTTTAAAAGTGAAACAACGAGCATTTTTTTTAAAATGTTACTTCGATTGTACAGAGCACTCTAGTCAATGTTTAGCAAAAGTGATGCATTGATTAGCTAATCTAATTGGTAACGTTGCAAGTTAAAAAAAAAAAAAAAAACAATTTGTAGCTGGTCAAACGATAATCATTTCAATCAAAATTATTATAAGTACTTGTACAGTATAGTTGGAAATTATTATAACCACCATTTATGTTAATGGCTTTTGGCTAAGGTCATGTGTGAACCCTCGTGCCAGTTATCATCAATCCACGGCCAACATTGGGTGACGGTGAGCTGTTTTGGGACCTATTGGCTCTACTTTTAAGCAAAGATATGATAGCTGTTATGGAGGTGAGCGTTGTCAATGAGTGACCATGGAATAAGCAATGGTTGAAAATGAGACGAAGAGGCTTTCAAACCACACCTTTCTTTTGAAGTGTTATCTTGTTGGACTTGTGTCCAAAAGAAATGGGACATTTGCTGAGGCAGATGCCAGGTGCTGTTTATGTTACCTTGACTTGTCATCGGACTAGTCATCGTCGCAAAGTTGTTTAAGACCGCTAAAAGTGCACATCCATCAAACATTTTGTGTTTGCATATGATATGATTTATTTTGAACAACGTGTAATTTTAAAATAAAAATTTATGAGTTCCACGCATATTATTAAAAAGAGAAACAAGATGAGATCTGAATCGTACAATTTTTTTTAATCAAATTTTAGCCATGAAGCAAAGTTCCTGCCCCTCTTCCGTTTGGATAGGAGATTGTCTGAAATATTTATTTGAAATAATTACTATAACACTTTTTATAATATGATAAAAAAGTAGTTGAAAATTGTGTTTATGATAAAAAGGCAAAACAAAATTTCAATATTTTTTTTTGTGCAAATCTTGATAACAAAACAAACCCTGAAATTTAACTTTTAAGAGAAAATTTAAATTTGATGAAAATAAATACTTGACTAATGGTACAAGAACTGCTAATCACTTGTAACCGCACAAGTTTTTTTTTTTTAAAAAAAAAATCATTTTAATAGCAGCAATTAAAAGTACTGGATGCAAAACAAGCATTAGGAGAAGCAGCAGCTGCTTGTTCGGTGTACTTATCTAGCTGCAAGAGGATCAGAATACCTGTAGATGACACACACTGCCTACGGAATTTTAGGTAGCTTGCCCGCTTCGCCCAAGTTCGACTTTAACTCTCTGACAAGAATGCAGATTTGACAACAAAGAGTATACATTTGGCACCAAAGGCATTAGAAATTCGAAGTACTCTTTTTTAAGTTACTGTTACGACAACAGGATAACCAAAACTAGCAAAAGGAAACACGAGCGAACGCTTGAAATTCTGCAGTCTGGAATAGGTTGGCGGGGGGAGTGTGTGTGCGTGCCTGTGAGTCTGCTAAACTTCTACCCTCATGTTTTACCTGCAGTGCTAAATTTAGCACGCCGCTCTTCATAGGAAGCTGAAAATGTTTCTGTAGTATTAGTTCAAAGCAACAACAAAAAAACTTCGAGCACAAAGCATATACAACTAACATCATGCGAAAACGGAGAGAGGCGCATGCAAAGAAATATTTTGTCATAGGTCAATAATAGAGTGTATGCAAGAATATTAGCTTAACTTGTCAACTAGAAGATGGCTTATAAAAGAAGAATGAAAACAACTGGTTAGCTTATTAGTGTTCAGATTGACATATGTTCAACTGGATTGGCATTGTACAGATTAGCATGAACTCAGGATGCTACTCAAGATTTGTGCCAGCCATATAACCAAAGAAGTCACCTTACTTCCATTTTCTGATAGAATGGCTAAAACCACTAAAATAAAGTTTACATGTTTATGCATCTATATGTTGAAAATTGTTTAGTCTTTTCAACCTTTTTTTTTTTTTTTTTAAGTTAGTATATTTGGGTGGGTGAAGCTAGGGATGACTGGTTGATCCACTGCACAATAAGCATACGCCGCATTATGAAACAAAGATCTTTGATGAATTTTTCAGTTATTGACATCATGAACGCATATCCCTCCAAATAAACTTGATAGAAATGATAAATAAGTCTAGGTTTAATTGTCAAATAGGTGTGTAGACACACAAATATGCGCAGAGAAAAAAGGTGGAAACTTAAATGTCAAATGCATTCTTTTCCTCTAATAAAGTCAGATATTCCGTTGAAGCGCAAAGAGGTTATATAAGATACCCAGGGGTTATTTTGAAACTCGCATCCATGTTAACCAATAGTCTTCCTTCTATTGTATTGATTTGGCTTTTAAAAAACTAGGCTGGTTTTTATTCTTGTTTCTCTTTCCAGCAATGAATCAGAAGTGCTCAAATTGCACAAGGAAAGAAGGTGCCAAGTCAATTCAAGCGACCATATTATCCACTAAAATAATAACTTTAAAGTGGCAGACTATGCTACAGGTTGGGAGATAATGGAACTTACGTTCGGTGGGCCTTGACATGATGGGAACATAGACAGCTTTCCTATGTTTCAATCTAACAGTATTCAGCAAACTGTCATCTGAAAAATGAAAGTTAACCAAGTAATATAACCACGGTTTGGAGTTGTTATTAGGGAAGAGGAAGTAAGAGGGTTACTAAAATCAAACCAGTTTCAATAAGGGAACAGCTCTGCAAAGCCTCATCATATATTGCAGCTTGAAGCTTGTAATTAAGGCATTCCTTCTTCAAGTGCTCAGCCAAAGCTTGTTTAGCACCTAAAAGAAACATTTCATGCTAAGCAAACAAAATTACCAACACCAACGGTGATGAGGGTAAATAAATTTTAAAACCAAGTACATCGTCGGCCATCATCAGTAGTTCAACTGAAAATGAGTTATGTTTAAAGCACCTTATTGCAGACAAGTAAAAGTGAAAAGTTTCACACTCGGATTTCTTTTAGATGTGACAATATGCCTTGGTTCAGCAATGCAGAAACAAAATACTACAAATGACAGAACATACTCTTTAGCGTTAAGTTGCCAAGCTGCAATAACGCACTTGAACATGAACGAGTATGACACAAAATGTATTAACTGGAGCTGAATTAGCATAAAACAGTCCAGCAGTAGTTGCATATAAGTAAAGATAAAACAAGTAGTCCTCAAGTAGCTGATGATGTAAAGCTAATCCAGCATAAAGAATTCCAGCTCTAGCTGCATAAGTATCAAACAATAAAACTAGTAGGCCTCAAGTACCTGATGAACAAATGAATCTAAGACCTTCAAATTCACAAGATTGAAGAACTAGTGGAATTTCTGCAGCCATTGTGTATTGAGGTTTCCTTGTTGTCTTCTCAGTATCAAGTAATAAATCTATAACCTACAAGATAATGCTGTCAGAATGCCTTCTACTTATAAAAGGTTTGACAATGGAACTCAGTGTATCCTGCTGAATCCCATCATCAGACTCAAACCACATCATACTATCACCAGCACCATTTGAGATTTAAGAAAATTCATGACTTTCACACTGCATGTTTTTACGCACATTAGGAGTTTCAAGGCCTTCTCCGATCAGAAATAGTAGAGCAGCCATGCATCGGATTTGGTGCCACAGGAAAGCACTACCTTTAATTTTTATCGCCCAGAGTTCATTGTCCTCAAAACTGCAAAATCATGGGGACAACAGTCAATGTGACACAAGGTCTGTGGATAGGCACCAGAACTAAGAAAACAATTGTGAGCTTAACTCTCAGTTAAGGACTCTAATGAGCAAAATAAATGTTCCACACACACATATCTTATTTAAGTTTACATTCGGTATTTGAGTGGTTTGCCAAGGGGAGTACAGGGATGGACATAAAAGGTGAATTCATCCAAACTATAGAGGAAGAAGTGAAGCCTCACTCAATGTAACAAGACTTAAAATTATACAATGCCAGT